CCATCCACGTCACCAAAGAGCCCTTGGGTTGAATTCGTTTACAACAAAGAATGACTACCGCTGGAGAATTTAGATGTGTAGATTCAGGCATCTTGTCTATTATAGAAGATGTAGACAGCGCAGTCATTTTAAAAGAGGAACAGAGAACCGCGATCAAGGCATTTGTTGATCCAATTGAGTGCAGAGGCGTTTTCTTTCCTGGTTCGGTTGAAACACGCCCCATAATCACAGCCCAATGGAGCAGTATCAGACTCACATTCTGACTAGAATCTGAGTATGACGACGTCAGGCTAATTAGTTTCTGCTGTGGTATCAAAATTGGTGGTGAGAATTGTGAAATTTAGCTGGTATCTAAAACAAACAAAATAAAACATTGCTATTGTGAAACATTTTTTTGGTCATGTCGCCTACTCCTAATCATATTAAATAGCCATTATTACAAAATAATCATGATTATGATTTTTTTTATACATGTATATATTTTTTACACCAAAGTATGAAAAAAAAATTGCAGTCAGTTCTCAGGTCATAAATAAAACTTGCAGTTCTCATATACATTTATTGCTTGTGTGATCTAACATCATCAAAATCATCCTAAAAGAACAGCTCACCCAAAACAAATTTGATTTTTTTTTTTTTTTTTTAACAAGTTTACTGCTTGTTTGATTTAAAATAACCCAATACAACACAATTATTGATTCAATTTACAAACATTAAACTTATTTGCATGTTTATGCATAAACTTGTAATATTGCATGCATTAAATCTCATTTACATACATTCAATTAAATAAGACGGTGAAAAGACACCAGGTTTGACGCCAATAACGATGACAGAATTTTAATTTTGGGGTGAATTTTTCTTTTAAAGGTGCTCTATGTAACTTTTCTACTAAAATGAATCCTTTTTTTTATTGCCTGTGTGTGAAGGGGTTGTAATCACACATTAAAATGATCCACTTGTCGAGTTTTGATGGCGCCCGATGGTTTTCTGCTAATATCTCCGCGAAAACACCACCAAAAACTTTGGACCTTATATGGTTCTTTTCAGCTCGACTAGATGGTCCCAATGAGCTCGGTGCTCGCCGAATCCGTCTAGTATTCGCAGAGATATTTGCGTAATAGACTGTATTGTCTATGAGTTCGAGCACGAGCGCTCTTGTAAAATTTGGTTGCAATCTGAAACATCACCACTAGAGGCCGCTAAAAGTTACATAGAGCACCTTTAAGTTTTTTTTATTTTATTTTTTTATGTTGCTGGGTGGTAATCAGAACCGTTTGCTTTTATCTGGTTTACCTGCTAGAAGTTTTGCCCTGAGAAATATTTATCTACCACAGAGTCTGCAACACATGTCATTTACATACATTCAATTAAATAAGACGGTGAAAAGACACCAGGTTTGACGCCAATAACGATGACAGGCTGAGCCACTGTTGTCCGACTGTTTCCACACATCTGATGTCTGCAGGGGCGAGTGCTTCTCTGGAGTGAGAGTATCCACACTTAAAGGTCATTAGCATAACCTCTGGCACCTCGCATAAGAAAGACAGATGAGAAAAAGTGAGTCAATTATTCATAGAATGAATAAATCATCTAGTATATAACTTTGGCACCACCCTGGTCACGCGTCGACTCGAGAGAGACGGACGATGAGAGGCGAGAAAAATCCAGGACTGCCCTTCTGACCGTAAGCTATCAGTTCTATTATTCATTTCCTTTATTATGGTGTCTTACTCTGACCTCTCACATGCCCTCAGTAAATCCACACACAGAGAAAGATAGAGAGATGCAAATACACCAGCCGGACTAGCCCATGCGTTCCGGATCCCATAAAACACTCCATCCGAAATGTAGATCCTACTACGCAGGTACGAACAAGACATGATAAGAAGGATCGGTGAGAAATAACACACATACTGTACTGTACTGTTCTGTCTAAATAAAAGAAGACAGACGTTATCTCCTTAATTTCAGCTTACATAAGTCTCAGAATTATTATTCACATGGTTGAGTACTGCAGTGTAGGCTGCAGGTGCATTTTAATATGCATAGAAGGTGACCGACAATGTGTGTACTACAATGTCAAACGTTTGTAATTCATATCCACAGACCATCACCACACTGCTTCATAGTCACACATTATATTAAAATAAAATGCAGTCAAAAGACAAGAGATTACAAGAAGAGCGTGTTATCCACTGTCTCTGGGATCAATGCAGGGGAAATTAGTAAGCAAAAATTCCTGCATCCAAATATGCTTCCTTACAACATAGTAGCAGTAGGTAAAAAACCTCCCAGTATATGTTCATCCAATAATTCACAGTATTCATAAAACAGCAGGAGAAAAGTACCTGGATGACTTGCTGATTCCGGCAGGTTCTGAAGTGTGCATCTGACTTTATTTTTGTGTAAATTTGTAAATGGCAGTAAAGCAGCGCAACTGACGCCGTAGGTTTCGTGACACTGACAACAAGCTCAGTTCATTCATACTATATGTAAATATTACTGCTTTACCCAGAGCGCTTTTAACAATTTATGTAATGCTTGGCTCTTATCGCCACTTCAGAGTGACTTAACTGGTAAAGTGGTCAGGGTGGTTTAGTTTGGTACTACAAGCCTCTCTATGGATAAAAGGTGAAGCCTTAACTGTTAAAAGCCCCTATAGGGTTTATCTCGGGTCAGAGTGCTCGTTATATGAGCTATTACCAGCTTCGCTATGCTAATGTGCGGTGCCATTCAGGCAAGAGGCTTGACAAAACGAGTGGGCCTCTCTTGACAGTTAGAGACAGAGAGAGAAAACTTAAATGATTTCTGAGAAAGAGGTCAGCAGGAGAGAGAACCACGGGAAAGCTTTTAATCCCTCAATCAAAACCTTAACAATCAGTGGCAAACACAAGGAAAGATCATTATGGCCCCTCTAAATTTTGGTAAATGGCCCGGTGCTTGTAATGGTGGTAATGAGGGGGATTTATATGGTGAGGTCAGCTCAGTTCATCTCTGACTAATATCATGCTTACACAAAAAGACTTTCTGTCATAATGTGCCCAACAATTAAGCAGCAGGATGCGAAAATTACAAGTTTAGGCAATGCCATTTTAAGGAATCGTTGTAAATTAGTCAGAGGAGGTTTTAGACACAATGTGAGAAATCGTAAAAACAGGAAAAACTCATTTGACTTTGGCTATACAAAGCCTTGCAGGAAAGTTTAAGGAAATGTGTTGCTCTTATTATAATTGATAATAATGTTAAATTATACAATTAATGAAAAATAATAAAAATATCAATTTTTACAAAAAAGTATTTTTTCCTTGCTGAACAACCATTTACATTACCTCAATATGGTGATTCTGTTTTTGTTAACAGCAGTGTATCTAAAACAGCATAATGGCTGCAAACTACATTGCTAGTTCATAAAGTCATTAGAAGCTTTTAAATGGAGGGAAGCTGAGAAAATTAAATACAAAACAAGAGGAAGTCAACACACCCTGAAGCAGGTCACCTTTCCAGAACACTCGGATTCAGCACTGCACACGGAGCAAAACTGTCTAAACATCATCTTCTCCAGACACCTTCAGACACTTAGACAAATACATGATTATTGTGTCTTACTTTAACACTCTTTGTTTCTTCACTTTATTTTCTAGTAAGCCTTGGCATATCTGAATAATTGCAACAAATACTTAACGATTCATGTCTTAACATTAAGCTGGGAAGTAAAAGAGACTTTTCAAATTGAAGTTACTCAATGCAATGACAATGAAGTTGTAAGTCAGACAATAATCCAACAATTCATGTTCATAAATAATTAACAGCTGCTTAATCATGGTCCATTTTAACATTTAACCAAAAACAAAGCATACTTTGGGATTTCTCCCCTCTTAAATTACAGTTTCTTCCAAATGTTAATGAATATGAAATATCGAACAGTGACTCCCCTTGTTGTGGACTCATAAAAGGTCATTTTCTGTGGTATGACATTTACTGTTGACTAATCACTCACTGCTGAGTACCTACAACTGATCACAAGAAAGAAAAAGTCTATGGAACAACAATCTCAAGACAAAAAAAAAAATCACATACACGCATAATGTAATGGATAGAGCACTGACAATTAGAAAATATTATTAATAAAACACTAGAATGGCATTAAAAGGAATATACAAATGATTTACTCAGGTTCAGTAAGATGTTTTTTTAAAATAAATTAATAAATTACTGAAGAAAAATAAATTAATAAATTACTATTATTCAGCAAGGGTGCATCAAAATGACAGTAAAGACATTTCTACATATCTTTCATCAAGTAAATGCAGCCTTGGTGTAAAAAAATAATAATAAAAATAATAATAATAATAATAATAATAATAATAATTATATATATATATATATATATATATATATATATATATTCTTGATGACCATGCACATGCTACGCAAACACAAATATATACCGTGTCCACGAATGAAAAATTCATTCACTCGTTTTAGTAAATCGTGATTAATACAATATAATATATTTTATATGGAGCAGGACATGGGGGTGGAAAAAAATAAACATGAGATGGGAAGAAAAATAATAAGTCAATGCTTTTGCATTCTCTTTCAAAAGTTTAGCGTTCCCATAAGAAACCTTTTACGTTCACTAGCAAAGAACTCACAAGGTTTGCGAGCGAACACAAAGTTTCTCGGAGAATACAAACATTTGCGAGACTTATTATTTTTCCACCACCATGTCTCTTTAGGGGCTCCATAAACAAAATGCAAAAAGTTGCAAAGACTTTTTTTTTCAGTGAGCTTTAAACTGCTGTTCATGTGTTTCATTTATGTTTTTTGTGTGCGTCATCACTCTACAGAAGAGTGCTGACCCCGACAGAAAGCCATGATGACTTCATCATATCAAACCCGAACTCAACCAATCACTTTCACCTCTTCGCCCAACACCGCCTGGATATTACCTACAGTCCCCCAGGGTGCAGATCTCTGTAATTGTTTTTACTCACAGTCCATCACTCCTCTGAAGAATCAGAGGTGGTATTTGGCATGGCTCAAGCTGGTTTAACGGTCAGCAGAACGTCTGTTGTGAAGGGGCGGACTGGGAGAAGCTCTGCCAGCCACTATAGAGAAGGCAGAATTACAGCTCTCGGCCCTGTGGACAGCACCACTACGGTTAGAGAAGCAACACCGGCCCCTGGGGTACCTCATTAATCACCATGGCAACCTAATAGAAGATGCCAGAACGGAGCGCTGGTGAGGTGGAGATAGAGCTCCAGGTGTCACTGTAAAGCAATAACACTGGCACTCAGCCAAATCAACGGCACATTGGCCAGTTATGAATGTTCAGAATGAAGTGTTCTAGAATCTGAAGATCCTCTCCTAAAGGCGAGAGATTGCTTTCAATGACTACACTAAAACTTACATTACATTTATGCATTAGGAAGTGGCTGTTAACCAAAGTGACTCAGTGTATTCAAGGTACACTGTACATTTTGCCTGCAAGCGCGAATCAAAACTCATCACCATGGCATTGCTAGCACACTAAAATGCTTTTTAAAGGTTTATAAGCTGAGCTCTGTCCTTACAGCAGACAAGAATTCTGTCCTTCAGTTTGTAAAATACAAAATTGTAAAGTAATTTGTTCTTTTACATTAATGTTCTTACAGTGGAAGTCTAGGGGCAAGGTAATTTAAGGTTTCATCGTTTAAAAAAAATATTTTTTATTTAGACAAATTTAAGGGGTCAGTAAGATTTTATATATATATAAATAAATTATTAATTTAATTCAGCTAAGATGTATTAAAGGGTTAGTTCACCCCAAAATTTTATAACCCTCATGTCCTTCCAAACCCACAAGACATTTGTTCATCTTCAGAACTCAAATGAAGATATTTTTTATGAAATCTAAGAGCTTTCTGTCCCTCCATTGTATGAAGCGACAAGAGTGCTTTGTTTGCGCAAAAACCCCCACATAATTTAACACTTTATTTCCAAAATATTAATTTCCAACGATGGAGATAAATATTTTGTAAATCAACAAAATATAACTCAAGTTGCCACATAAAATTAAGGTTAAACCACTGGAGTCACATGGATTACTTTTATGATGTTTTTGCAACCTTTCTGGGGCTTGAAAGTGTTAGTTTTGTAGGCTGTCAATGGAGGGACAGAAATATTTCTTTAAAAAGATCTTCATTTGTGTTCCGAAGATAAACCAAAGTCTTACGGGTCTGGAACGACACGAGGGAGTAAGTAATGAGAGAATGTTCCTTTTTGGGCGAACTAACCCTTTAAATTGATAGCAAAGGCATTTATACATTTTGTGATAACAATGACTTTTTAAAAATCTTACCAACTCCAAACTTATAAATATAATATAAGGTACTGCAACCAAACAGGTCCCCGTTGACTTCCATCGTATTTTTTCCCCCATTCTATGGAAGTTAATAGGGACCATTAACTGTTTGGTTTCCATATTCTTGAAAGTTTCCATATGATTGGCTATGGACAGTTCAAGGAGAGAGGAAGAAAAAAGAGAAGGGAAGGAACAAAAGAAACATAAGAAATAAGGAACCAACTATAAACTACACCTGACATGAATCTGCCCATTGGTATTTATAGTAATCCAGCACCCTTTAGACTTGTGATCTGTTTTAGTGAAAGACTTATGTGTGTGAGAACTATTACTGTGTGTTGGTTACGCGTCAGAGTATCAATATACATACAGTACTACGAGTATGTCCACGGTAATTTCTATGGAGACTCTAGTGTCAGGTCTTCTGTGCTCCATGTGACTACAAATAAAGCCCTCTTGAGCTCTTCAATATCCATATCGCATTTTCTGTGTTTCCCAAGTGTGTTCTTTCAGGTCTTCCTATATGATGGAGTGATCTTTCGTTCTCGTAGCTGAAGGCTATAGGAGAGAAACGGGTGAAAGACGGCCGAGTGGAGCTGAGGGTCAGGGTGAGTGTGCGAACGGCAGAGAAATGAGGCTTTAACGCAGCTTTATATTTGTGTAGGGGACAGTGTCAGACGCCTCAGTAAATTGTGGCTGCTGGAAGAATCATCACCTCCTGGAGCAAGGATTCAATTCCAGTCAAGGACAGGTCAGAGATCATTCAGAGGGGATAGAATGAGTGACTGAGATAGAACAAAGGGAAAAGGGTGGATTAGTCCCATTGTAGAAAAAAAAGCAATAGAACTTTAAGGGTTAGTTCAGCCAAAAATGAAATTTCTGTCATCATTACTCACCCACATGTCGTTCCAAACTCCAAGGCTTGTGTTCATCTTCTGAACACAAATGAAGATCTTTTTGATGAAATCTGATTTCTGTGTGTCCATTGACAGCTACGCGACTGACACTTTGACACTTCAAAGAGTTCATAAAGAGATCGTAAAACCAATCAATATGAATTGATCAAAAGCAATCCTAAAAATATCAGTTTCCACAAAAATATTAAACATCACAAATGTTTTCAACATTGATAATCACCAAACCAGCATAATAAAATGATATCTGAAGGATCATGTGACACTGAAGACTTGATTTGCATCACAGGAATAAGATGCATTTTAAACCAGATTCGTATAGAAAACTGATATTTTAAATTCTAATAATATTTCACACTATTAATGGTAAATCAATTACTGTTCAAATCAATGCAGCCTTGGTGAGCATGAGAGACTTTTTAAAAAACAGTCGTTTGTGATGACATTTGTCGTTTGTTATTTTCTAGAGATAGGCACCAATATTAGGAATTTTAAAAATGCCCAATAGATAGAACAAAGAAAAGAAAAGAAGAGAGATACATATAGAGAACAAACTATAAGACAACACAAGAGAAAGAACTGGATATGAAAAATACCTGGCATGACTCCACTCATCGCCATTTATGATAGTCCGACACTTATGTCCGGCTGTCTTTCTCTTTCTCCTATTCCTCCTCCCTCATCACTCTTTCACACTCCATCCCCTGATCACGCCATTGAGGTCTCGCTCTGCCTAAAGTGGAAGTCCTGAAGAGAGCGGAAGCAATCTAAATCAGCCACTGCCACAGAAAGAACAGCCCAGCAAAAGACCTCAGTCTTCCAGCGAGACATGAATCAAGTCAAATCACCCCCAAACCAAGACTTACTTACTTTCTTTCTTTCTATCTGAGGGTTTCCAGAGAAAGGAGGAAATGAAAAAAAATGAAAAAACAAAGTTTATTCAACACTGTCTGCTGTAAACTTGCTCTAGCAGAGATGAGGTCTGATATTGAGGTCTAGTTTGATTAGAAAACCAAGGGAGAGCACAAAAACTTTGACCCAGAAACCTTCCTGGAATCACAATTTATTACGGCCCATGAAATATTTGCAAATACAATACACATTAAAAGGTACAAAACATAAAAAATAACATAATTCACTACATGTTATTCAACATATACCAAAAGAGAAGTACTTGAGGTGTGCTTTGTAATGTTTTCAACTTCAAGGCTGACTAAAAAATGGTAGAGGCTGTCTTTGGAAATACTACTGCACATGTTTAGTTCTTCTGGCTTTGAAAAAATTAATCGAATTGTTATCATCAAGGTGAAGATCTCCAAGAAGTGAAATTGCATTGATGACCTCTGCTTTTCTGAGGGTCTCTGCTGCTTACAAGTCCTAACTAGCATCACTACAGAGAACTCAGAGTCTGAAAAACTGCAGCGCAAGGTGTGAAATTACAGACTTCTCAGTCTCGTGAAATTGCTTATGTAGTCAGCCGAATAAAACGCCAGTGAGATGAGGGGTTTTCCTCACAATGTAGAATTTCAACCATTGTGTTCACCATACTGTAATGGAGCAGATGTGTTTTTATAGTATTGTGCAGAAAAGTTAAGTTTAATTTTCTTTTTAACTTTTCTTTTGTGTCTGTGGCACCCTTCAGTCATCACCAACTCCAAATGACAAATACAAACAAACATCAAAAATACAAAAGTACCTTACAAAATACAACAGACATCAACAACATCCCTCGCGCAACAGCAAAATCACTGCCATAGGTGTAAAAAGCCAACTGTGATATCACAAGAATTGTGGAATTCACTGTTGTTTTGACCATTGTTTAAAAGATTGGCTTTAGTGTTTTTATTAGGAAATTGATTCCTGAAGGATCATGTGACACTGAAGACTGGAGTTAATGATGTTGAAAATTCAGCTTTGCCATCACAGAAATAAAATACGCTTTAAAATATATTAAAATAGAAAATGGTGATATTAAATTGTAATAACGTTTCATAATTTTACTGCTTTTACTGTACTTTTGTTCCAATAAATGCAGCTTTGGTAAGCATTCGAGACTTATTTTCAAGAACAATCTTACAGATCCCAAACTTTCGTAAAGTAGTGCATGTTTCTGGCATGGGCCATTTTAAAATGTGTAGCTTCTATGCATGCAAAATTTGTGCTGAATATACAGTACACGAGAACACTCTGTTCTGGAAACAAAATCAAATTAGATGCCATAATCTTCCCCAAGAGACACTTTGAGCAGTCAGTGACCACAAATATTCATGATCATGCATTTTCAGTATTAGGTCTAAACAAATGTTGAAATAACAAATGCAGAGTGCTGCGAATTCACCAAGCCCTGCAGCCATGAGTCCCAAGCTAACGAGGACCGCTGAAAATTATACATTATGATGTATGAGATATGGATAATGCATACAAGCTGAAATGTTCGCAGGAAGTCGAGTACAAATATATACTTTCCCGTTCTCTCATCAAGCACCTCTGGATGTTTACACTGATTTTCTCCTAAACGCTTTGAAGGATGGAAATCAGTGATGTTTAAGAGCCGTCAGATGGAGTAGCGCTGCATGCATGTCAATCTCAATACTTTGATGTGATGTTGTTTTAGATCATAAGATGTACATAAAGGTCTTTGTATGGGAAATAATCAAAGCACTGACGTTGCTACAAGGAGGATTGTAGGAAAAGGGGGAGTTTGCGAGCGAACTCAGACTTTTCGCAAACTTATTGTAATCTGACACTGCCGTTTAGCTCAGAAAAAAGCAAAGAATGTATTCACCAGAAGATCGACTTCAAAGCTCTCCGCTCACAGACTTCCATCTCCAGAATCCTCTAAGGTGAGAGAAACGGAATCATTCTGCTCTCCACCAGAGGAACCACTGAGAAAAATAAAGAGGACACTGAACTGTGTAATCCCTCCATTCACACATGCGTGTGGCTGCCTCGTCTTTTCCGTCTATCTTTCTTTCTCTTTTGTCCCCTGAGCGCCTCCGCACTTCTATCAGCTTCCTTCGTTCTTCGTTTTAAGCAACCGATCTACCTTAATTGAAAATGGGAATGAACACACCATTGAAAAAAAGAGAATAATTGACATGGTTACACTGCGCTGGTAAGCCTTTAATTCAATAATATGGCAGATTAAGGGGTTGGATTCTACCTTCTCTGGAAGCCCTCCCAATGGGGAATGGTTCCACTTGGCCGGAAAATGATTATAGAGGAATGAACGCAAGCACGCACACACACACACACAAAACAGCTGAGTCAAATGAAGCAACTCACCAGCACACACAATGAATTGGGAAGTATCATTACCTCCAAACAAATCTACTTATTCAACCCCAGAAAAGACAACACAGTGATGATACAGTATTCATGCTTTTCCTGCCAAAAGTTAAATGCTTAATTACCAGTAAACAGATGGCCAGAACACATCCAAATCTCTCCAAAATTAGCTGCCGCATGGAAAACACACCGATATATGCGTCTGCATGTCATACACAAAGAATGAAGAATGTTTGCCAAATTCTCAACCTGCTTTTACAGGCCTGCGATGCATTTGTTATGATACCGTGAATATTCGAGGGCTGTCAGTTGATTCAAATATTTTATCACAATTAGTCTCATAAACACACACACATTGTATTACAAGTGTTCTTTTATTTTGAGCAGTGCAGCAATGGTGACTAATTGTCATTCTGTCACTCACCAAGTTTCTTTTTGTCCCCACAGAAATGGTTTCACGGTCCTTTAACGACTCCACAACGTGCAGTGAGCACGAGCGTGCGACCACATTCAAGTATTCACATTTATTTAGTCGATTTTTTATTAACTGATTGTGTTAACTAACTTAAAAGCAATCGTGTACACACACACACACAATTGTATAGTAGTAATTTATAATCCATAGTAATGTGTATATTTATATTGTGTGTGTGCATCTGTTTTTCCCAGTTAGTTAACACATTTAACAAATTATATATAACAATATATGATATTTCATAATAATAATTTAATGACCATAATCAGAGAAAATAGTTGTTGTCACCGCAGTGATCTGATGCCATTCTCAGATATGTTTGTACAGTGTTTTCCTCAGTTATTCCAGACTTGTTGAACTCTGAAGATAATTAAACAATTATTTTTAATACTGTATGACAAAAAAAAAATGACCCTACTACCTGAAATGCACATGTCTGTGACAGTGCTAGGCTGGAAAAACAGTTAAAAAAGCTTACTTTATCACAGCACTTCCTGCCTGTCGATCATTTTGCACATTTAGGTGTATTTAGAGGGAGTTTTGGGGCTCGTGTGGTTGAAGTTGGGGGAATGAAGCCGAATAAGGATTTCAAATGATCTGCATGCATTAGCATGTTCATTTTAACAGCCATTGTAAGTTGAGACCCAACATTTTTGTGTGTCCTTTTAATATTAATAAAAGGTAGTACAGAATGGCCTGTTTTCAATGGCGGCAGTAGAGGGCTAATGTGCAGCGTCACGTGCAGTAAATGTGAAGGACAAAGTGCTTTTGAGTGAAGAGCCTTTCCCAATGTGATTGGGGCTATTGCAGCACACACTTACCTCTGTGTTTAGCTCGGCCTCTGCTAATCTTTATCTCTCTGCCACTCACACTCACTGATGCAGCGTGGGGTTGGAGGAGTGTGTCCTTCTCCTCATCCCAGCCCGCCCGCCCCATTAGCTGCTCCTCTGCTCTGTCCAGATGACATGCGAGTGGGATTAGTATTCCTGAGCCATCCGAGTTTCACAGCAGTCAGACAAAGACTGCGGCACTGCGTGTGTTGCTCCTGGGTTTGAGAAGCGAGAGGCCATAGGTCTGTACAAACACTGATAAACACACTGATGATATGTAACAGAGAGAGAGAGAGAGAGAGAGAGAGAGAGAGGGAGAGAACAAGGGAAACACAATGGTTGGCAGCTGAAAGCACATAAACAGTGGAGAAGAAAGAAAGTAAAGAAGAAAGGAAGAAAAAGAGATGACTGAAAAAAACCATAACCCCTCAACCGCCACCCCTCAAAAAGACTAAGCATATTACTTTCTATATTCCTTTTATGAGAAAATATGACAACATAAAACCATTTGACTTCACCAATCAGGGGTATAAAACTCTCAATATCTTTCAGAGTTTTGAGGTATGCAAACTACAGCAAATCCAGCAGCGAGTTCTTCATCAGAAGAGTTCATTATAGCAGCGGCTTAAAATTATGACTTTGTTTCAAGGTGAACTGATTAAAACGTCCTAAATAGCACAACTGATGTGCACTTGCAGTCTTGTGATCTTTACTTGTGCACAAAAAAAAAAAAAAAAAAAAAATCTGTTGTATTAACAAAAACAAAAAATATTGTATTAAATGTACTGTTATTTTATATAATTTATATATGATTTATTTAAATTAAATAACTATTATTTTATACATAATTTACTTTATGTATTAATATTTTAACAATTATTTTATAAATATTTGATTATTAATACTGGACATTTAACAATAATAATTATGTTTAATTATGTTATGTTACTTGGGTAGTGAAGACCACAATGTGCTGTATGTGGCTGCAGAGAACATAAAGCCAATTTTAAAAAAAAGAATGAAAAAGAAATAAAAGAAATATTATTTTTTGTGTACAATATAAAACAATATATCTATAGATTTGC